ACTGTGCATGTAGAAATTTTTGAAATGGTGTATCTTCGGCTATGTGTATTTTCACCAAAAAAAAAGGTTGAGAAATTAGAGGGTTGACATGTTGTGGGGTTGTTAACCAATGTCATAAAACAGTATGTGTACCACTGTTTCATGAGAAACTATTTCTTCTGTAAGCCTTCACCTGAAGTGCAATTGAAAAAAAAAAAATTAAAGTACCCATGATGCCATTACTTGTGATGAAAGGATCCGTCATTCCATTGTTTGTGACTGGTCATGAGATATGCCTCTGTGACCACGTATTTTGTAATTACGTCTTTTAGCCAATCAGTGTATGCCAGTTGTATTAAGATAACCAATAATGTTACAGGTCACACTTTGCCTTGTCCTGCCTTTGACTGATTTCAATCACTGTAAACCAGTCAGAATACTGAAGCCCTCGTCCTTGTTTCAGTTCTACAAAAATGTCTTTGTAATTACTGTGTCTCAGACTTTGTGGGCTTTTCATGGGCTACGGAGATCTCTGGTTTGAACTGTCTTAAATCTTTAATAAATCTCTTTCTTTTAATTCAGTTTAGACTAGTAGAAGTTTTTTCACACTACAACAGAAGGCCCAAGTTAAGCCTTGGATGCTGAGGTCTTTGGGGCTCAACTAAAGTCTCCACAGCCACACTGTGGCAAGTACTCCTGGGTGTCCTAAACAAAACAAACAAAAAACTCAGACCAGTTGCCCTAGAGTCCATTCCTACTAATGGTGACCCCTAAACTGTTGCTGTTGAGTCGGAATTGACTCACAGTAACGTTATAGGAAACAGTAGAACTGCCCCATAGGGTTTCTAAGGCTGTAATCTTTATGGAAGCAGGCTGCCTCATCTTTCTCCTGTGAAGCTGCTGGTAGGCTTGAACCACAAACCTTCCTGTTAGCAGTAGAGCACTTTCACCACTGTGCCACCAGGGCTTCTCATGGGGACCCCACACCTTCTCAAATTGGAGAAACAGGCACAAGATTTAAGCCTAAATGGCATCAGAGAAGTTGAGGAGGACACACAGTGACAAAGCGCTGACTGCCACCTGGCCCCAGCCCAATATGTATCTGCTAAACGAGTGCTGACACCTATAGCACTGCATTGGCTGTCTTCAAAGAATCAGGATGCTGCATTGTCAGGGTGGGGAACGCAAAGACTTCTTATCAGGTGTGTAGTATTTGATATAACAGCAACTACAGAGAAATGGTGACATCATCAACGATGCTTCATATTTGATCAAAGGGTCATTCAACACCACAGGCATTTTTCTACAAGTTCTGTTAGAGGGCTCTCATTCCTACATCTGGCCCCTACTTGAAGACCTAGAGCCCTCTGCAGGGACTGGCTCACGACAACTCCAACATACAAAGCCCAAGGTAAACAACAAAAAGACAGTTTATTAATAATGAAAACAATATTCAGGGGCTAAAATATTCACACTGGCATTTTCTCCCCGTAGGCAGACTTACACAAGAAGCCAAATCTTCATCAGAAAGGTACTTGAATACACATCAAAATAACATAATGGCAATGAGCTAAGATAGGTGCTGAAGAACCAATCCCCAAAAGAGTTAATGGAACTGAAAATACAGGACATCTGATGGCTGACAATACTTTTTCTGCTGGAGCCAGTCTCACTTTGCCTATCTCTGCTCTGATCCTCTATTAACGGCATTAATACTTCAATTCAGACAGCAATCTGATACCCACAATTTCCAAGGCGGGGTGGGGTAGGGTGGTTGGAAACTCACTGTACCAATAACCTACCTTTCAATGCCTTCTCTCCCTGAAGGCAAATTTATTTGGGAAGTCACACCAGCACCAGAGTGGCTTGGTGGGCACTGAAAGGGCACAAAGGACTGGCTAGAGCATGTCTACGCCACCACTGTCTGTGTGCATGTTAGGACACCCTCCCCTTGGCTGCAGCTGGAAACACTGCCAATTTCTCCCCCTGACCATTGTGGCCACACAGCCTCTTTCCTCTGCTATATAACAGGCCCAAATACCTTAACTTCCACTTTCTAAGTTATACCACATTCTGCCATATTCCTGGTCTGATTTGATCTCCATCTCTAATTTCATCCTTGGGGAATAAGGAAAAAAAAAAAGTTGGTGAGTTGACTTGGACTCATGGCAATCCCATGTGTGTCAGAGTAGAACTGTGTTACACAGGGTTTCTACGGCTGATTTTTCGGAAGCAGATTACCAGGCGTTTCTTCTGATGTGCCTTTGGGTGGACTCAAATGTTAACCATCCGCACCACACAGAAACTCCTTGGGGACAAACTGAACAGCAATTCTGGGGGGTGCCTTGCTGTCACTCCTATGAACCATCTATATTTCTGAGCTTGGAATAGGCATTCTTCCTGACCCTACAGTGACAGCCAGGATTTGGGAAAATCAGCAGGACAATCCCTGACTCTTCTGTAAGTTATGAGTCCTGAATAGAAAATCATCAAATACTTAGCCTGTGGAGTATAAAGGGGGAAGAGTCCTGCCAGCTTTTACCTTGGTGATGGAAGAGAAATGGTGGCCAGAGGCCACTTTTTCCAGTCTTTTTCCTAACAGTTCTTCTGGAGTCACTGCCTAGGCACTTAATTGCAACAAGGAGATGTAGGCGAGTGGAGGTCAGAGAAGCAAAGGCAATGAGGCAAGCAAAGCTCATGAAAAAGGACACCTGCCACACCTCATATCCTCTAAGAGTGGCTCCAAGTGTGCCTCTCCCACACTTACAGCCACCAGCTCAGTCCCAGAGCTCTTTCTCAGGCCCTCTCGCACTCTGCTCATCTACTCCCCGAAGACCCCAGTGAGGCAGAACTCCACCTTTCTTTTCTCTTCTCTTTATATTGCCATCAGTGACTCCATCCTTCAGGGGATTCTTCTCTCCTCCAAATTATTCATGAAGTGGGAAGGGCAGAAGGAAGCTAAAAATATGTTTTACTACCAGCTTAGAAATTAAGACCATGAAGTGAGAATAGCAATGGGAAATAAAGTTGAAGCTTTTTGTACTCTACCAAACTATCAAAACACTTTCTGGCACTTCCCTAGAACTACAATGAACCTGGATATATAACAGTAAGGGCTAACCTTTCCCCACCTCCCTAGCACCAGTACCAAACCTTTCTTAGCTAATGACAGCCACCATAGTCAGATATACTACTATTTATTTCCCCAAATGACCTATTCAGGCAAACCACCACTAAGCCCAAAAGACTTACTGTGAATTTGGTAAACTGGTAACAGTTTGGAGACTTAAAGACTGCAGATGGAACAGAAATTAGGAAACCCATATTCTCTTAGTAAAAAATTTGCTACTCTACCACCACAAACAGTGAACATATATAAACTAAGAGATTATGTTTTTTAAACAACTACTGTGGATAACTACAGAAAGTAATGTCTTTATAAATCATACTTTAAATAAATGATTTTAGAAGGACACACAGTAACTGCAGAGTACATAACTGTTTTCCTTATTAAGTTTTTCACTATATCAAAAAACTAGCGAGTTCTCCAAACTGTGATGTAAAGTAAGGATAAGATTTTACCTAGTTTACTGAGTTTACCTCAGTGTCAGTTATAGAAAAATAGTCAAACAAGAAGCCACGGCTGACTGTTATAATGGTTCTGAAATGGCAAATAAAATTTTTAATGGTGATTAGACCCTGGATCCTACTTTGCAAAGTACTGATATTGTAACAAAGGAATAAATGTTGCTTTATTTCTAAACTGCAGGGTGTAAATGATCTGTAACACATAGCATCTATAACACATGGCATCTGTAACCTAGCTCTAACATCAGTGAGAATCTGAGGTCCATCTATCTGCTTCCTTTATGGTCATACGTCGCCATCATAGTTCCATTTATAAATCTGAGGAAAATGTGAAATGGGAGAGATTTTCATTAAGTCCTGAGAAAAATAACTATACCATCTTTGCTCAATTAGAAAAGCAAACCTGTCTAATTACATTCTTGAAGATGAGAAACATTAATTGCTATGGCATTAAGTTCTTAAGAGAAAGCCCCAAAACTCTAAAACAATTCTATGCTGCCATCTAAACTGTTCTAACCACTTTCAGAATTACAGCATATTAGCAAGTAAAAGTAATTATTATTTACACAGAAATGTATTAAGAGGCTAAAATTCTAGCTAAATAACTTGCCTAGAATTTTATTACCATCTAAAACTCAATTTTAAACTTCTAACTTTGGCAATACACATTGAACATTTACATTCAATTGTACAGAAAGCAACCTATTTCATCTTGGAAACACTATACAACAAGATCACAGAGAAGCACACACATACAGCCCTGCGTGTACCTCACCAACTACGGAAGTGTGGCACATTCACTGCTGTACACCAACATGGAGCAAGTTGGAGCACTGTAGGAAGAGTTCAACTGCTTTAACAACTCAGAGCAGAATTTTTACAAGCTAATGGAGTAAAGGCAAACAAATTCTCAGAACATTAATTAAAAATAGATTATTTAAAGACAAAAGTCCCAGCTCACTCTTATATACACAAATAAAGGTTCATCTGTCGCAGACAGCAACTGCTGAATTTATACGCTGGAGTTTCTGGCAGCATCCTTCCTGCACATTCAGAATAACTAAAATACACACAGAAAGCTGTCGAATCTGTCTACGATGAAACATAGCTATTCTGTTGCCACTGCGCATGTGCTCACTGCTGCTTCTCAAATGCGAAGACCAAGTAAATGCCTACAAGAAAAAATAAATGAAAGTTAAGAGTTTGGTTTCTTATATCCTCATGGTCAACAAAATAATAATCTCAGTCTCTGCCATACAATTTGGTGAAAACTCTTAGGCTCTCAAGCAGCTTTTGAAGAGGAAAAAGAGCCTTTAATTCTAAGAGTTTCTCAGTTATTCTGAGTCATATATAAGCAGATATGGGATCATATATGTTTACCTGAAGACAAATACCAACCTACAATAATATTCAACATCACAACTCATAAGAAAATCAATTCAACAGCTCTACAAAACTCTAAAAACAGTTTGAAGTAAGAAAAAGTATAAAAGCAAATAAAATTAAAACTAGAAAAGTCTTATCACTCAAATCTTACCTAGAGTGAGGTAGATAGGTAGAATAACTGCACTACAATGAATACTATTGGCAATGGTACTCTAAAATTTCTATTCTGAAGAAAAACTAATAAAAAGAAATATAAGGAAGATACATAATGTGCATGTTAAAATTCACCCAATTGTTGTGTTACAGGGCTTGATAAGAAAGTGAGCCAAAAGTCATAATGATGGTCAATGCTTAGAGATATTATTTATCTGGCCCCAACAGTAATACCTCTGGATGCATTGATTCCCAAGAGCACTCTCTCTTAAAGAAGGTCACCTGCTTTGAAGTGTGTTCACTCAAATACAGCTAGATGATTCCTTATTCTGAATCACACTGAAATTCAAATCTACTATATGTTCTAATAAGATACAAGCAAATTTTATGGTAAGAAAATACCTGAAAAGATGACAAATCCTCAAAACACCATGAGGATGTTCAGGGCATGCATTAGGACACTTAACCAGTGAGTTAAGACACTAGGTCGTGTAACTTAAATTCCTCGCTCCTAAAGTTAGTTTATCAGTGATGGCACACTGTGTAACAGCCTCCTGATTTGCCTTCTTGGCCTTCCAACCCAACCTGTTAGTAATACCACACCAGTCTTACTAAAATACTTCTTTGGTCATGCTACTCTCCTGCTCCTTTTCTTTTAGTTCTCGATTTCTTTTAGGAAAATGAGATGTGGCTGGCAGTATAGTACACAGGTAGACAGAAAACAGGTAGAGTGATCATCGACACTTCTAGAGGATAAGGAGGCAAAGCAGAACAAGTATGTCCAAAGACCTACAACAGGTAGGCATTGCTAACCTTGTCCCCCACTCTAACTGGTCCTCAGCAGTCCAACCCCACCAAACGCCACCCCAAACACACCTATACCCACTGCAAACAACCCTGCCGTCGTGTCCTATCCTAATTTAGGGTCATTTAAAATCACTAAAGGAGCCCTGGTGGTACAGTAGTTAAGCACTCAGCTGCTAACCAAAAGGTCAGCGGTTCGAAATCACCAGCCACTCCACAGGAGAAAGATGTGGCAGTCTGCTTCTGTAAAGATTCAACCAGAACAAAACAAACCCATTGCCATCTGATTCATAGCAACTGTGTAGGACAGAGTAGATCTGCCACACAGGGTTTCCAAGGCTGAATCTTTACAGAAGCAGACTGAACCATTTTAAAGCACCTTCTATAGGGGCAGCAAGCTCTGGTAACAAGAGCTTAATAAACAGGCCAGTAAGAGTTTGAAATGTAGCTTTATTACACTCATTAGATTTGTGACACAAGGCAAGCTAAATTCCAGCCCGCTAAACCCATCAGTTTAGAATATCATAATTCATCAAAGAGCCAATTGATCCTGGAATGCTAGATTTTGGATGCAATTTGGCCACTGTTCTTTCCTTACTGCTTTTCACATTTCTAGCCCATCTCCTTCTCAACTGTCTGGGACCACTTAATTCTTCACTTGTATGTTATCACTAAAGTCCTCTTTAACAGAAAAATACAGTTCTAAGCTATAGCCACTACCACTACCATCATGACTTTTCACCAATTTTTTTCCTTACACCATCCTTTGGAATTGGAGGGTGTCTAAGACAGGTGGCCCATCCCCACGCAGAAGAAAAGTAATGAAATATGTAGGTTTGTGCACACACTACCCAGTTTGTCAAGACTATATCCATAATACATCCCCCAATCCCATTTCTATTAATGTCACCATTCTTTGAGACAATTAAGCCCAAAATGTTCGCACAATTTGTCCTCCTTCCTTCCCTCTCTATCCAATTCAGCAACTCCTACCAACTTCTGCTTTTACAAAGGATTTGGGAGGCCATGGCTAGGATTATGGACTGTGTAGCCAGACCACTTGAGTTACCTCTGTGACCTTAGCCAAGTTACTCAACCTCTTTCTCATCTGTGAAAGAGAGATAGCATAAACAGTAGTCTACTTGTCAAGTTGTTGTAAGGATTAAATGAGTTACTACATACGAAAAGCTTAGAACAGTGCCTGGCACATGTTAAACACTTAATATAAACTATTATTATTTTCCAGATTTCACTAGTTTCATTAAACTCTCACCTACTTTTCCTATTAAACTATCTTTAACACTTTGCCTAGTAGTGCATTTACTTGTCTGTTTCTTCCAGTAGACTGTACACTTCCAGAAGGAAGACATTATAACTTGTTTACCTTTTTAACCCTCATAGCCCTTTCAAAGAACGTTATGAAAGTCAATACTCAACGTTTACCAAATGGATTGTCTTTACCACTTGTGCCTTCAGTACAATCAATAATTATTTATATAAACAGTGGGAATTATCTTTTAGGTCCCCAGGGAAGCCACAGAAGGGAAGTATTATCATCTTAACAGTGAGGCTCTGACTTCCTCAACATAAATCTGTGGAAGAATCACAGGGCTTCAAAGACTGGCAACCAGGCCTTCTGATTTCTCTTCTGAAGACAAGTGCTTCACTTCAGAATGCTGCTGTTATCATGCCTGTTCTCAATCACACATCCCTCTAAAATATCCTGCTCACTGCCACTTCACTAAATTTTCTAGTATTATGCCTTCACTGTTAACATCAGAATGGCTGGAAATAAAACACATGAAGGTGTTCTATAAACCAAAAATCCCAACAAATTTGAGGTAAAGACATCAAATACAGAAAGCTGTACAGTAACAAACAAAAAAAACAGTTGCTGTTTAGTCGACTCTGATTCATGGCAACTCCATGTGTGTCAGAGTAGAAATGCTCCAACCAGGTTGGCAATTAGAGTGCACCCTGAGGCATCTCTGGGTGGACTCAAATTGCCAACCTTTTGGTTAGCAGTGGAGTATGTTTATCATCTGCACCACCCAAGGCCTCCTTAGTAAAGAGTAGGCAGTGAAATACTTAAGTATACTCTTGAAAATTTATAGTGAGCAACATCCTGCATATATTTTCCTTGGTACTAAAAACCTGTCAAGAAATGGGGAACTGGACATATAGGGAGCCCTGGTGGTGTAGTGGTGAAGAGCTTGGGTGCTAACCAAAAGGTCAGCAGTTTGAATCTACCAGCTGCTCCTTGGAAACCTTATAGGGCAGTTCTATTTGGTCCTATAGGGTTGCTATGAGTAGGAATCGCCTCGATGGCAACGAGTAATCAACAGGTAGACGTATATAGGGATGCAGGTATATCTGCGTGGGTATAAAGAAACACAGACACAACTTAGAAATGTAGCAAAAAAAATTCTAGAGTTTTCAGATTTTAATGTTCACCTTGAAACAGAATCTTTAAGAATGTCAGTAAACCTACAATGATGATTACTCACTTGTAGCTTCCCATTCTGATTTACTTAAGGTTCCCTAAAATAAAAAAGAAAGCTTTAGATTCAATATGGAAATAAACATGCTTATTTTTTAATGATGATGGATAGAGATGGCCAAAAAGCCTGACCTTCACTGTAAAATATATATACAATTTAACATTACTATTACTGTGATCCGAAATTAAGTTCTAATTCCATCCTACCATTTTTATCCTCCTCCCAAATTCTCTAATGCACTCATTCTAAACTAAAGGATGAATGTAGGTAAAAATGATATTCGTGTGTGTGTGTGTGTGTGTGCATGTGTGCAAAGGAGCCCTGGTGGTGCACTGGTTAAGTGCTCGGCTACTAACTGAAAGGTCGGCAGTTCAAACCCACCAGCCACTCTGTGTGAGAAGGATATGGCAGTCTGCTCCTGTAAAGATTGATACCCTTGGGAACACTATGGGGTAGTTCTACTCTGTCCTATAGGGTTGCTATGAGTTGGAATCGACTCGATGGCAATGGGTTTGGGTATGGGTGCATGTGTGCATGTAATTGGAAAAAGCATGTACACTGTATTTTTTAACTTGGAAAACGAAAAACTAAAAAAGCCTATCTTGAAACATAGAATAATATTGGAGGAAGGAATAAAATTTTTGTGTTTTTCCAAAGTAATCACAAATTAAAGTACACATCATACAAAGGAAATACATTTAAATATACTTACCAAAAATACTCAAAGAACACCTGTGATATAGTTAAATGTGCTGCTTTATTAATGCATTGAAAAACAAGATCTACTGGCAGTTCTAGTAACAAATATAATTTGGAAGAAGTGATGAATGCAAATAATATTCTAAGATGTCAGCAGAAATGTGTTATGAAACTATCTGTATTTTCTGTTGATGACAAAGTTACCACTATAGCCAATACCAGTGTGGTATTTGTGTTCATTTTAAGAAAGTGCTAAATCTCAGGTAGAAATTAGTGAAAATGAAGATGTCATTTTTCGCCCATCTAAGTTCACGGGCCCCTTGAACTCTCTGTGGGACACTTGTGAGTCCAGGTGCCTGTAGTAAGAAGTACTGCACTAGGGCAGGCAAACTGCCAAACTCACCCAGAATGTTCCCAATCCACACTGCCTCCGACACAGCACTTCATTCTCAGCAAACTGAAGTGCATTTTATTCTATATCCATGGCTACAGTACTCACAACTTAGGGGAAACGCACTACTGTGGATCTAATTTGAAGAACTAAGTCACTAAGCTCGAGGATTGCAAACCAGTGAAATAACCTCCTAAGTCTCCATATACCTTATGCTTTTTTCCATTTTCTATAAAAGAGTTTTAAAAATGAATACTTACCAAAGGTAATCTTATGTGACTGTTTTTCATATACTTTGCTACATGCTCATAGTCATCCACTTTCTCAGAGGCAAGTTTGGAATTCTCATTTGCAGGGTATGGCTAGGAAAGCAAGTGAAATCATAGTTAAGATACATTTAAATTTACAATTTAGAATTAAACACACTCAATCACTGAAAAAAAACAATTAAGGCAATAATCCCTAAGTATTATTTTAAGAATACAAGCTACACACGCTTTTAAACTATGGGGAAAGAAAAAAAAAAAGGGGGGGAAGGGAGTACCTACAAAGTAGCTGTTATCATAATCTTAGACTATTTACAGCTAGAATAAACAAAATAATTCAATCACCACCACAGCCCCCTCAGCAGAAGCAACTCACATGTCCTGACCACTCCCCCCACGCTGGTCAGGTGGTTTCCTGCTACAATACAAAGCCTAAAGAAAGCCCTATCAAAAGAGCTAAACAGGAACAGGATGGCCACGTAATAGCCGTGGAAAGCATAATTAACAATCAGAAATAATACATACAAAAAAACTTGAGTCAACATAGAACCTTGTTTAAGAGGACAAAAGATGTGAGTTGAAGAAAATAAGGAAAATAATCCAGCCTTTAAAATACAGGCAGTCCCATATTGACGAAGAAGCTGATGAAGAGTAAGAAAAAACTACTGTGTTTTTAAGGGTATACTGGCCAAATGTTTATTCAGATCACCTCAAGCACTGTTTTTAATCAATTTTATGTAACATCTTTTTATATCACGAAGTACCGCCATTTGTAATGTATGTAAATCAAAACATAGGAAAGTACATAAAATATTTAATAACCACCTACTCTACCAAAGTTATATATTCTTTATAATACCTGCCTTTATCTTCTTGCAATAAACAAGCTTCAAGGAACCATTTTATGTTATGACATTCAGAAAGTTCTTTCTAGGATTAAGAAAGCGACAGATCTCCCTGAGGTATTTTTTAAGAAAATGAACCAGGAAGGTCTACTTTACTATCTTCCTTTTCCCTTTTCTTTATAAATATCCTACAGCAAGTTCAGATATTAGAAATTATTTGTTTGCTGTTTAAAAAGTATTTGGCCTTTTGGACTTCCATATTGTTAGCAGTGGTAACTTTACTTTTTATTATGCTTTAACACAAAGAATATCAGGAACACAATCACTCAATCTCTTCGAAACTTCAATCTCACATTGTTTCACCATACCACAAAGCTTCAAAACCTTATTTTTGAAAGGTTGTCATTCTACTATAAATCTGTTCTTCAAGCTAATCAGTATATGATTCCTTCACATTATTATTTGTCTATCACTGAAAATCTCGTCTCTCCTCTACTGATCATCTTAAAGGACCAAACAATATATGATTATAAAACAGCAAAACTGACTGTATTTTTAAAACTTGCTACAATGTATATATTCTAATAAGTCTTTCTTTTCAAAGGAGTTACTCTTCCAGAACTCTTCCCAGATTAAGTTTCCTGGTGGAAAAAAAAAAAAAGGTGTCAGGGCTTTGTAACTATAGTTCTTGGCTTGCTATCTCTTCATTTTTCCTTCCCTCTGCTACACTGCTCCAGGAAACTAGAGAGAAGTTTTACTAGTTTTATTGCTGAAACTCTGGGCCAGTTGAAGGCTGAAGGCTTCAGGAAAAGACTTTACACAGACAATACATCCATTTAAATCTTTCACTTGGGCTAAAGCAATAGCATCCTCACTGCTCTTTCTGCCTCTAGTCTTAAAGTCTCTCTAAACCATCCTGCACACTGCCACCAGAATAATGCTTCTAACACCCTTATTTGATCATGTCACTCTCCTGCTCAAAATTCTTTAAAGGCCTAAAGAAGTGACTTGGTGAAGAAGTAGGAAAAACCAAAGAACTTCTTCAAATTTCACCTATTACTGCTTATGTCCCTGGACAGCCTTGGTAATAGATCCTATTCATCAAGTGCAATACTGAAGTAGAAAGAAGATTGAGAACCACTGAGCTAAAGAAATGCTGAAAAGTACCAGTACTTCCTTGGACACCCCTTGCTCCCTCATGCTTCTCTACCTTCACTCTTACAGTTTTTTCCCTGCCTAAGAGGCCCTTTCATACTCTCACTGTACTTTGAGTGTTATTTCATTATGGCAATTTTCACGTTGTACTCAATTATTTGCTTGCAAGTTTATTGCCTCACTATACCATAAGATCCTTGAAAAAAAGGGACACTGTTATCTTTGTGTATCCTGCTGTCTAAGGGTATTTTTTAATAAAGTAACATAAATCAATTCATTACCTATATGCTAAGAGAAAGTTTAAATAACTGCTCACTGTACATGCAATGCACCATTTAGTAAGGATGATAAACTACATATACGTATGTGTGTGGGGATGTATGCACACATACTTTTCTAATTTTCTTCTCTCCCTCAAAACAAACAAAAATAAGCCCTTTCTCCTTATATAAAGCAAATGTAAACATTCCTAATTCTAAAATGTAGGAAATATGATCAGTAAGGAACATAACATTTTATTGATTATGGGTTTCAAAAGACAATTTAGGATTTAGGATCCTTCTACCCAAAATTGAAGTGGATGCAAGTATAATAGGAGACTTTTGTTTGAATACCACCTATAAAAGCTGGAGAAAAACTAAAACTTAATAGCCAAACAAGTCAACTATCCTCTCTGAGCCTCAGACTGCCCATTTAAAAGATACGAATAGTACTGCTTTCCCTACTTCAAGGGGTAATTATGAAGATCAATAAGATAGAGTACGCTTAAAGTACTTAAAAGAATATTCTAAATTGAATGAACTCTATCTAGAAAAATTTAATGCCCATTTAATGAATATGATTCTGCTGGTAAGTAACAAAAACGTTTAATGAATATTTTAGATCTGCCCAATTAAAGCCTGTATAGACTATTCTCACTCCTGCACTAGGGAAAGCATAGAAGAACCCAGGAGTTAAAGCAGCTCTCAGCAACAATATAGCTTAAAGATTGGAATCTTGTTAGAATGATGGTCAACCAGCAAAACAAAGTTCTGCATGGGATAAGCTTGTTCTGGACCCTGGCCAGGAAAGTTTTATTTATTTTTAAATAATATTTTATTGAGTTTTTGATGAAATTTACACAGCAAGGTAGGTTCCCATTTGACAATTTGGCGAGGATATAACCAAAGGGTATCATTTTAAAGCAGTGGTTCTCAACCAGGGGTTATTCTGACTCCCAGGGACCCTTGCAATGTCTAGAGATATTTTTGGTTATCACAACTTGGGGAGAGTGGTAGTGGTGCTACAGGCACATGGTAGACAGAGGCCATGGATGCTGCTAAACAGCCTACAATGCAGAGAACAGTCCCCACAACAAATAATTATCCAGTCCAAAATGTCAAGCATCAGGGTTGAGAAATCCTGTTCTAAAGCAGTCCTATCTAGAAAATGGAGTCCCTGGGTGGTGCAGTTAATGCACTAGGCTGCTAATTGAAAGGTTAGAGGTTCAAGTCTACCCAAGGTGAGCTGGAAGAAAGGACTGACAATCTACTTCTGATAAACCAACCATTGAAAACCCTAGTCTTCTATGTGGGGGGAATCTATGCGACGGTATGGGGGCATCTGTATTTGTGACTATACATATACGTATTTATACACATATATATAATAAAGCACATGGGGGCACAGTTATGGATACTTCTTAGACATAACCAAACATCCCACGGGATTGGTTTTTCTGGGTTTGAAGGATTAGGACCACAGTCACATGAAACATCTACATTAATTGGCATAATTTACAAAGTTATGTTCTACATCCTAGTTTAGTGAGTAGTGTCTAGGGTCTTAAAGGCTTGCAAGCTGCCATCTAAGATACAACTCTTGGTCTCTACTCGTCCATAGCAAAAGAGAAAAAAAGAAAACCAAACACTCAGAGAAGAAACAAGTCTACAGGACAAACAGTCTACACGAACCACGACCTTATCTACCCTGAGACCAGAAGAACTAGATGGTGCCTGGCTACCACTACTGACTGTTCTCATCAGGGTCACAACAGATGGACCCTGATAGAATGGGAAAAAAATGTGGAACAGAGCCTCAAATTCCTTAAAAACAAAAACAAACCAGACTTACTGGACTGGTTGATACTGGAAAACTTCCTGAGACTACTGACCTGAGATACTCATCAAACTTTGAAGTGAAACTAACCCGAAGTCACCTTGTAGCTAAATAACAAACTGGCTCACAAAATAATGAACATCACCTGTAAGTATTCTGCTCCTTTAATGTATCACTTCCATGAGACCAAACAGTCAACAATTACTTTAAAACAAAGAGGAGAATGTAAGGGGGCAGGGAAACTAGATTAATGGAAACAGAACCACCAGAACAGAAATAATGAGAATATTTGCACACTGTGAAGAATGTAACAACGTATGTCACTGAACAATTTGTGTAGAAACTGTTGAATGGGAACCTAAATTCTGTGTTAACCTTTACCAAAAACACAATAAAATATTATTGGGAAAAGAAAAAAGAAAAAAAACCCAGTGGGGCACAGTTTTACTCTGTCACACGTGGGGTCACTATGAGTCTGAATCAATAAGCAACTGTGTTTTTTTTTTTTTAATCCAGAAAACAGCATTTGAAGATGGCATTGTTCATTCATCAAATATTTACTGAGTGGCTACCAAGCAAAGTTTCTGTATCAAGCTCTCCTAGGTGCTGAAGAGTATAGTTATAAATAATGTGTGTAATTTATATAAATATTTAGTATCTACATAGCCTCAAAAAGAATCTCAAAAACAGATGAACACATTCACTACAAGCTGAAAATTTTATACCTTTTTAAAATACTTACCTCCAGGGCCTGCATGCGTTTTAACAGTGTTTTATTTTCATTGTTCTTAATCTTTTCTTCATAAAACTCCAGAAATGTCTTTTTGTAGACTAGTTTCATATTGTACTTCTTTGCCATTCTGTCCAAAAGAAATTATTTAATGAAAAGGCTTCCCAAAAGTTTGTAAACCCTCAATAGCTTACTATTATATAACAGTGACATCTTCTGGCTTTAAAATTCACAATAGGGTGATGAAAAATGATTAAGAGTAACATACCAATAACCATGTCTCTAAGGCAACGTGCAATCTAAATCTCAGTGGGTTGCCAGAAAGCTCTATTATTGTAACAAAATGGGTCAGGAAGAAAAAGTGTCATGGAACTGTGAGATGGGGAAGTAAAGCTATAAGGAATAACTTTTCTATTGATTACATATTTATCTTCTTGATCTCCCACAGCAGCACTGAAAACAGCTTAAAATACTCTCATCTCTTGGATTCTCTGGCAAGATACACTATTAATCTTGGGCTGCTTCTTCTCAGTCTATCTTACAGAATCTTCTTTGACCTAGCTTTGAAATTTTAAGGTTCTGAGAGCATGGTCCTGAGCCCCCCTCATTCTCACTCCCATCTTTACACAGCATGCCAGTGGTTACCTGCAGCGCAGGCATACTTGCTCTGTCATATTCATTTATTCCATCACTTACTAGAAATCCCTGCCTGGATGTGTCACAGGCATGTTCTAACTTCCTGTATCCAAGAGTATCCTGCCAATCTTTGCTATTTGAGCACATCCATCTAATGAGTATGCCAGAAATCTTGGAGTTATCCCAATCATTTCCCTTTCTCCTACACCCACTATGTTTAATACATCACTAAGTCTTGCCCATTTTACCTATAAAATGTACTTCAAATAGGCCTACTTCTTTTAAACTTCATTTGTCTCCATCCTGCTTCAATCACCATTCCTGCTCAGCCATATCAGTCCAGTAACCAACCAGCTTGTTTCCCTGATTCCATTCTTACTCCTCAATTAATTTGAAGCTGCAGCCAGACTAAGCTTTCAAAAATACATACCTGGTTCTGTCCCTTCCCTCCTATGGCCCTTCACTGGCTCTCCAGTGCACTTTGGACACAATTCAAAAGCCTTTAATATGGCTTCCAAGGCACTCATTTACAGAAGGATGTTGCCGCACCTTGAGCCATTCAGCCCCTCACTCCCTAAGATCCAGGCACAATGGCTTTCTTTCAGTCCCCTGAACCAACCAAGTACTTTCCCACTTCAGGGCTTTCACATATATTGTCCCCTCTGACTGGAATATTCTTCCTTCCAGTCTCAACTGTCCAACTCCTGTTCATCCTTCAAATCTTGACTTAAACATCACTTCTTCACAGGTGTCTCCCTTAAATCTTGAATTATATTATGTCTTCCCCATTATGCTCTGTCCCCCTGCCCCCCAACCACTGAATTTGCAAAAATTTATAACTGTATATCTGCAGACAACATGAGGGAACTTAGGGATGGTTTCAGACAACAGGCAAAGGAGAAAAAGGAATTACACAGAAAATAATGAGAAAAAGTTTCACCAATTTCAATAATTTTGCCATACAGATGCTAATTATAGGAGGCAGAGCCAACATGACACGCTAGACACATGCACCATGCTGTCCCTCTGCAGCAGAGACCCAAAAAACTAAGTAAGACAGAAATGTCAATCCCAGAACACTGAAAATCAAATGAAGGGATAAAAAACCAGATGAGAAAGTGACAGAAAACAGAGAACGAGGAGAGATACGGAGTAGGGGTCCCCTGCCAAATGACATGGCACAGCATGGCCATCGTGAAAAATAGCCAGCAACGACCTCGGACAGGGAGTATGGGAAGGCAACTTCACAGAGTTCCCAACAGGAGACTGAGCACCCGGTAACCAAACACACTTTCCCAAACCTCACCCTCCTGATGAGTAGAAGCAAGAACCCCCACCCCCACCCTGGCAGCCCCAACCGCTGGGGTCCATGATAAGAGGCCCCCCTCCAGGGCTCAACCTGCCCCTCCCATCATATGGCTTTTTTTTTTCTTTCTTCCTCTCACTTAGCCCTGTATGTAACCTCCTGCCTTTCCCACTGGCTTCTACGCACCACCACTTTTTTCTTTCCTTTCTTGCTTTTCATTTTCCCTCTGACCTAACCCCATACACCACCTCCCCACCCTTCCCACCGGCCCCTGGGTCTGCCCCACTCCCACTTGCTGACCCCCACCATGCTATTTTTTCCCTCTTTCTTCCCACTTCCCATCTATCACTATACGACACCTTTCCCCCTTCCCACCTGTCCCTGCTGTGCCACCATGGCCCTGGGTCTGCCCCAACCTCATGCACTGGCTCCCACCATGCCACTTTTTTCTCTTTCTTTACTTTCTACCTTCCACCTAGCCCCATACCTCACCTTCCTCCCTTCCTGCCAACCCCTGCCGCGTCGCTGAGGCTAGAGAGCCACCGGCGCGCCGCACCACCCAGGTCCACCCTGCCCCCACGTGCCAGCTCCTGCTGTGCCATTTTTTGTTTTTTCCTTCTCCCTCCCACCTAGCCCCGTACAGTACCTTCCCCATTCCAGCTGCACAGGTCTGCACCGCCCGTCATCCCGCCACTTGACCAACTGCTGAACAGTGGAAGGCAAGTCCATACCACTCCTGTCCAACACCGCTGCCCATCTGGAGAGGGGCTATGAACACTCCCACACCACTAGACCAACATGAGGAGGCAGACAGCACCTCCCAGTCCACCCTTAGCCACTCACCGAACCAGTGTACAGCGAAGGGGGCTTGCCCTGCCTGCAGCTGCCCTGCCCACCCGAATAAGGTGGTGAGAGTTATCGTGTCCACAAACAAGTGGCAAAGCACACCCCACCCACCCATCTTGACATATCAAAACAAAACATAAAAACAGGATGAAACAAAAAGAACATACAATCAATAAATAAAGAAGATAATACCTTACTGTCTTGGAGACAGCAGACAATATCAAAATATGTAACAGACCAGGACAAGATGGCTCCAGCAAGTGACAAAAATAAACAATCAGTTAACCTTCCAGTAGGATAAAAGACACTGGAACTAACTGATATGGAATTCAAAGGACTAATATTGAGAGTTCTTGAAGAGATCAGAAAAGAGATCAAGGAAAACACAGACAAAACCAAGGAAAAATTAGACAAAATCATGGAAAACACAGACATAACCAATGAAAACTTAGGCAAAATAAAGAAAAACACAGAGCAATGGAAGAATTCAGGAAAATAATATAAGAACAAAATGATAAATAATTAGAAACCACACAAAAACAGCAATTAGAAATCCAAAAGATAAACAACAGCATTTCAGGAACAGACAACTCAATAAAAGGTTTTAGAAGTAAATTTGAAACAATGGAAGGCAGAATCAGCGAGACTGAAGACAAACCCATGGACACCACTTTGAGGAAAAACCAGAGAAAAGAATTAGGAAAAATAAAGAAAACCTAAGACTTAAGTGGGACTAAAGTCAGAACAAAAATTTGTGCATGATCAGAGCTCCAGAACAAGGAGAGAAGATGGAAAACAAAGAAAGACTGTTAAAGATTTGAAGGCAGAAAACTTCCGTAATATCATGAAAGATAAAAAAATGACCATCCAAGAAGCTTGATAAACCCTATATGGGATAAACCCCAAAAGAAAGTCACCAAGATATATCATAATCACACTTCCCAAAACCAAAGACAAAGAAAGAATCCTGAGAGCATCTGGAGAAAAACAAAGTCACTTACAAAGGGGAAACAATAAGATTAAACTCATTACTCAGCAGAAACTATGCAGTCAAGAAAGTAATAGGATGACATATATAAAACCTTGAAAGAAAAAAAAAAAACTGCCAACCAAGAATAATATATCCTGCAAAACTCTCTCTCAAATATGATGGTGAAGTAAGAATACTTCCAGATAAACAGAAATGAAGGGAATTAGTAAAAACTGAACCAAACTTACACAAAATATTAGAGGGAGTCCTTTGGTTAGAGAATGAACATTAGAAAACCTGAGTCTAGGACACAGGATGGCATTAGCCGATACCAACCTAGGTAATAAGACAAACTAAAAAACTTAAAAAAGGGTAAGAGAGACATCAATCTGTAAATGACAACATCATCAAAACAATAAAAGGGGAATAAATAGTGCATAAAATAGTATAAAACTTTCAAATGACAAGGAAATCAAGGCAATAGCAGGTAATAAAAAGACTGGTTCAAACTTAGGAAGATAAGGGTAAATTTCAAGGTAACCAAAAAGAAAGTTAACAAACCTACTCATCAAAATAACAACGAAAACATAAAGATTAAATAAACACAAAATACATAATAATGGAAAAAGAATATTTGAACACAAAAGGAACTCAGACAGGAAAGCAAGAGGTACAAAGAAAACATCAGCACCACACACACAAAAAAAGCACAACAATATGACAGCAATAACTCATACCTATAAATAATCACACTGAATGCAAATGGACTAAATGCACCCATAAAGAGGCAGAGACTGGCAGAATGGATAAAAAATATGACCCATGAACATGCTGTCTACCAGAGACACACCTTAGACACAAAGACGTAAACATACTAAAAATCAATGGATGAAAAAATGTATCAAGAAAACAGTAACCAAAAAGGAGCAGGACTGACATACTAACCTCAGATAAAATAGACTTTAATACATAATTGACCATAAAAAACAAGGAAGGACATTATATAATGATTAAAGGGACAATCCACCAAGAAGACATAACCTTAATAAAGATCTATGCACCCAACAACTTGGCTCCAAAATACATAAAACAAACTCGAACAGCATTCAAAAGAGAAACAGACAGTTCCACAATAATAGTAGGAGACTTCAACATACTACTCTCGATAAAGGACAGAACATCCAAAAAGAAACTCTACAAACATATAGAGGATCTAAAGGCCACAACTGACCAACTTGACCTCATAGACATATATAGAACACTTCACCCAACAGCAGCAAATAGTACATTCTTTTCTAATGCACATGGAACATTCTCCAGAAGAAAGCACATTTTAGGTCACAAAACAACCCTCAATAAAATTCAAAACTTT